ATGAAAAAGTTTATATAAGGTTGCAAACTTAAAATGTAGAATTACAGATGCACCTCAAAAATCCATTGGAAAATCTTGTTTTAATGTTGAAATACCCTCTAATTGATCATCTCAACATCGAGATGTATGAATATGAAAAAAAAAAGATTTTGACTCCTAGAAATAATACATCTTGCAACATATTGTCTAGACCGTCCATTTTCAAGATTTTCATATATTTATAGTTCTACTTAATTTTAACTATTTTTTTACTTTAAAATTTTATACTTAAATATAAACATAGATTTTCAGGTAATCCTAAGAATGTTTTACATCAAAATTACATGTTATGATAAAATTCATAAATTTTGAAGGTACACCTTAATTGGATTATTTAAGGTTGCAACCTTATAGAAACCACACCCTTATTTAAATACTATAACTAAAAATATATATTTATTTAAATATTATTTGAATATTATATATCAAATGGTATTTATATAATAACACTATGGACTCGGACTTGGACTTGGACTCGGACTCGGACTCGGACTTGGATCCGACCCACCAGTTCCCATTCTTGGACCCATGTCTTGACCCGGATTAGGTATACCCATCGGGTCCAGGTCCATTACCACACTTATTGGTTATTGAGTATGGATAATGGAGATAACATTTATCATAGTTTGTATGGTACATGAACCATGGCACGTTAATTTGCATGGTACAAATTCTAAGCCTTATCTATGCATACTGGTTTCATACAATTGGACAGTAGGGTTGGGGAGCACTATGCGTGACCACATTCTCAAAAACGGCATTTTAGTTGAAAGTATATCCAAAATAAGATATTATACTTTTCCTCTCAAAGCATATGAAATTCAGTTTTCTTCAACCATAACAATCTTTAAATTAACTTGTACACATCCAAAAAGTATTGAACTGTAAATATGAAGTTTAGAATTGTACCTACAATGAAGAGGAAGGGCACGATATTCATCATGTTTGTGCAAAGATATGTTTGAAATAGTGATTGAAAATATTAATTGGTGTTGAAATAAATTGAGCATGTGTATCGATCAGTGTTGATTAAATTCATTTTTTTTAATTACTTCTTTCACTGTAAAAATTTGCAACAAATGAGACCCACTTCCTATCCAGTAGGCTTTTCAAGAAAGAGGAAGATCATGAGTTTGGCTTCTCAGATATGGAACAAACACGAAAGTTGCCCACAAGGAACAATTCCAATTCGCAGGACTACAAAAAATGATATTCTGAGAGCTAAATCAATCACTAATTTTGGGAAGAAAACCCCAAATTCGATTCCTGGTCCAAAAAAGTCAGATAACAACAGTGCTATTGATGTTGAGGTATACAAAAATGCAGTTTTGTTGGTCAGTTTATTGTTTCTCCTTTCAATGTGTGTTTGTACATGGTTGCATGACATTTTATGATCCACTAGATGCATTTCAAGGAACACTTTGGTATATATTTCTCATTTTCTTTGGTAAGCAAATAAGTAGGTTTAGAAATTAAATTTGTGACCATATTTAGCGACGAAAAATAACTCTGCCTTGGCCGGCTCCCTATTGATCCCAAACCCAGGTAAAGGAGGAGGGTTATGTTAAGTAGACAACCAACAATAAGACTATAATGATGATGATGATGATGATCTAGAGATGAAAAGTGCTCCAAAGGATTAATGTACCTTAAGAGAACTTTGATGTGCATATATTTAGTGCCAAATATGGTATTGGTCTCATTCAATAGCGCATATAGTGGGCTCTTGCGAGAGCATTAATATCCACATATTCCCTCAGGGCAAGGAGGTACTTAAGAGGGCTTTTCAATTTAAAATTTTGGAATCTAATTAAGAATCACCGTCAGATGATTGTTTTTTTTTTTATTTAAAAAAAGATATCAAAATTATATCAACTGTCAAAAAAAGGACAATCTTTGTTCAATATTTTGACCTTAATTTTTTCAGACCCTCAAAGAGTCCTTTTTTTTAATTATCATTTCAGGTTGGTTGATCCCAAAATTTTTGGTACTAAAAATTCTCCTACCATGTATTTTACTGAAGGAAGAACATAGACAACCCACAAGAATAGGAAATCATTTGAGCTCAAAAGAATTTGCTTTTGGGAGTCCATAAGCTTTTGCCATGACACTCCTCTCTCAAATTTCTAGGGCTTCTCTCCCTCCAGTTAGAGATCACTATCTTTGAAATAATTGCAAATCAACTGCACAAAACATGTCTCACAATGTGAAATACAGGGGATTGCAAAATTTTCATCAGAGAGACAAGTTGTGGATTTTCAACATATTGGGGTCACTAGAATCAGCAAATTTCTTTCAAGGAGACAATTTGTGGATTTTGAACATATTGGGGGTCACTAGAATTTAGTAGTCTCTAATAGATTGATCCCATCTTATAGGATATATTCGAAAGTACTGAGAATTAATGTAGGGATTTATGACTTCATTGAGGGTATGACCCTTGATAGAGCAGAATGGTGGGTTATGATTCGTATAGTTAACCTTAGATAGTTGAAAAAACTGTTATGAAAAAGGTGATAATGATCTTATAAGAGTTTTTTAATGAAATTTTGTTTGGACATACATCTAGTATTCTTATTGTATAGTGCTTTCCAATCTTTTGCTTTTCTTGACTTTTTTTTCATATTTATAAAAATTTCCCCATTTTTTTGGGTGAATAAAGTTTCTTCTTAAATTCTATTACTAATTAATTATTTCATGTGTGAATCTTTAGCAAGCATATGTGTATGTGTCCGATTCGAAATCAAATTATTTTGGAGCAGAAGCAAATATTAATGTTTGGAACCCATCGGTGAAAAAGGCCGATGGTTTTGAATGACCAAGGCCCTAACACAAATGTTATTCAAGCAAGATGGACGGTATATGATTTTATTTATTTATTTATTTATGTGTGTTTTTCCTTTCCATCTCTCACAAGGAAAATTTATTGAAAGTGACTTCATATTTTTGGCTTGAGCCTCTTTTTAAAGCATATAAGTGCATTTTGAATTTGTTTATTTTTATATATTGGATTAAGCTCAAATTTGGGACGTACATAGTTCTCACCATTATAAATTTATAAAAGTATAAAAAGAACAATTTAAAATAACTAAAATTACTTAAGTACTTATAAATCATGTAGCATTGTTTTGGCTATTTTTTAATTGAATTATTGGCTACAAAAGGAACAAGGTGAAAAATATAGACGTACCAAATTTGAAATTAATTCAAGTTATAGAAGATTTAAAATAAAATACATTGTACGCTCTAAAAGAATAAGACTGGAGTGTAAAATATGAATATATGGGAGCATTTTTAAATTTTGACAACAAAATGAGATTTTTATGTAAATTTTCCTTTTTATAATGACAAATTTTCCTTCTTATAATAACAAAGTAATATGGGTTGGGGAATGATGAAATTTAATGCCTTTTAGATGTAATTTTATGATTTCCAAGTAAATTACAATCTCATGGGAGACTGGCGAACTCCGAACTCGACTCTTTATATATTGGACAGTAAGTTTTTAATAGGACAAATCGATAATGACCAATTAATTTCAAAACAAGAAGGTTACAATCATCATTGACCGTTAAATTTGAAATCGGTTGGTCGAGGATGTGTCATTGTTTGGGCACAACATCCAATAAAATTTTTCCAATGTTGTGACACACTTTCATCTATTAGATTTCACATCCAATGTTCAAAAATGATTCTATTCTCCTTATACCAAAATAAATGATTTCATAATATTCAATCCCTTTTTAATATATTATCAATTATTTAATCCAAGAAATTTGCATTTTGGATGGAAAAGGTTAGTATAAGGCCGAGGCTTTTTAAGTCAAATCTAACTAGAAATTGTCGTTTTGGTATTGAAAAACCATCAAAGTAATCGTTTCCACCTCACTAATATGGATTTGAATCCACAAAAGATATTTCAAGTCCAAAAAATAGTATGTCATGAAATAATTTATCTTGACTGTCCATTTTCAAGTATTCATAGATCGAAGAAATGCACTTTTTTGGAGCTTCAAATTTCACAATGATGAGTGTAGATTTTTAGATAATAATAAGGGTTTCTAGTGCTGATATTGTATTTTCCAGTAAGATTTTGAGGTGTGATTTTATTTTTTAGCAAAAATTATCCGTTATAGTTTGCGTTATTACAAAACTACCGAAGTTTTTGTTATTACTTATTTGTACTTTTTTTTTATCTCGTAACAAATTTTTTTTTAAAAAGATAATTTTACCTTTTTTCGGTTGTTGAACAACCGAATTCCATAGATTTTAGGTTGTTGAACTACCAAAATTAGAACAATTTAGGTTTTTGAAAAAAAAATTTCCGAAATTTTTTTTCTCTTTTGTAGGTCATCTGTGTATTCTCTCTCTATCGACTAATCAAAATTTTCTTTTTTAATTCAATTTTTGAATAATGTCCTCTGCGTATTATCTCTCTATCCACTAATTAATTTTTTTGAAACTTCAAGTGAATTCTCTCTTTATAACTTTTTTCCTATGTCTATCCATTCTCTCTCTCCATGATTTAAAACTCTTCCCTATCTTTATCTATACATTACATTAAACTCGTCCCCATGGTTATCCATTCTCTTTGTTCTAGTTAGAAATTGAAAGATGGTTGCTGTAGATTAGTCATTGTAGAGAGAGAATGGATAACATATAGTTGATTAGTCATTATAGAGAGAATGAATAAACATGGGAAAGAGTTAAACCCATGTATCTTCTTATGTTTATCCATTCACTCTAAGTTATAAACTATTCCCTATGTTTATCCATTCTCTCTGTTCTAGTTACAAATCAATGATGGTCAAAGTAGATTAGTCATTGTAGAGAGAGAATGGATAAACATAAGACGGTCACGGTAGATTAGTCATTGTAGAGAGAGAATGGATAAACATAGGAAACGGTTCATAGGGAGGAGTTTAAACCCACCCAATCTAAGGTATAGATATAGGGAAGAGTTTAAAAGGAAAGGACAGAGAAAAAAAATTCGGTTTTTCAACAATCAAATATTTTGAATTTTTCGAAAATTGGTTTGATTTCCGAAAACCCATTGAATTCGGTTGTTAGGGGTAAAATTGTTTTTTTTTTTAATTTTCATTATGAAATGAAAAAAATAGATAGATAATAACTAAAACTATTAAGTAGTTTTGTAATAACGCAAACTATAACGGATATGTACTTAATTTTGCCTTTGTTAAGGCTCTACCTAAAAAGTCTATTGGAAAACATAATTCTCGTGCCAAAAAACTCATGATCAGTTGCAATTCTATTTCCATTGCTAATTATAAAATTTGAAGTTATAAAAAAAGGTCAAAATCTAGCATATCAAGAAAGAACTTGAATAGGCAATTCAGAAAAAACGCTAATCATTTTTAGGGTTTTGAGTTCCTTGTCCCTATTAAGGTGGAAATGATTCATTTGCTAGTTTTTTATTCGGAACCACTTTTCCTGGCAAGATTTTAGATGCAGTTTTACTAATTAGTTTCCCAATAGTTAATTACTTAATACCTATTAATGTATATACTGGGTAGTGATCTCATGCAACGGTTGTAATATAGTATAATGCAACTACATTTCTAGAAAACCATGTTTATCATTTTTGTATGATCCAAAATTTTGCACACACACTCTCTTCATCTCAATAATTTGCACCCTATATATGGTTAAAATGAGTCCCATCTAAGAATGAATCTAGACCGCCTATTGATGAATTTCAAGATCTAGGCATTTATGAATTCAAAATCTTTTTTTATTTTATTTTTATGTTCTTAATTTAATGATAATAAAGTATTCTAAAAAATTTGGAAAAAAAAAAGATCGTTCTAAGGCCTAGATCTAAACATCTTCACCAAAATGGAAGATCTATGTTAATTGGGTTAAAAAAATACTTGTTATGCTGTGTTTTCAAATTTTTATTTTTTTATGTTCATTCACTAGAATGAAAAGAATATATATTTTAAAATTCGATCAAATAAATGGCTATAACATGATTTTTAAAAAAATTTACATTATATTACTATACAAGTGTTACATGAAATCGCAACCCGTACTAATGCTTCATTTATGGATAACATAGAAATGGGTACAATAGTACAGGCTGCTACAACTTCCACTGTCCTGGTTATGTTCAAATAAGCTCAGAGATAAGCTCAGGTGCAGCCCTTGAACCCATTTCAGTCTAGGTAGGGCCTCAATTTGCTATACTTGTCACAATTTATAAGGTAATAAAAAATAAGAAAATAAATATGTCACATGTTTCAAAATGTATTTCCTTTAACAAGTCAGGTTTTATTAGGAATTGGGCTTGGGCTTGGGCTTGTGATTAGTAACAACGTAACATCATCATTAGTTAAGTCTTATCCCAGTTATTTACGGTCGGAAGTAATACTGCTACATCTCAAATTCAATTCTTATTATGAGGTCCTGTTTCATTAAGTAATGGATGTTTATGAGGTGTAATTTTCAAATTTAAATAGTTCGAGTGAAATTTGCTGCTGTTTTTTGGTTTTTTTTGTAAGGCACATCACTTAAACTCTAATATTTTGTTATTATTTTGAATGTTGGTTCTGTCAAATATTCAATTAATGTACAACCTCTCTCTCTTCTTCCCGTGTGTGTAAACTATTCATGTCTAGTGGAAATCTCTTTCTCTCTCCTCAAGCTATATTTTTCAGCAATAACCCACTCTCTCTCAAAGCTATTTATATTAATTGTAATTCCCACCACTCTCCTCTCTTTTCGTTTTTGAAAAGAAACCCGTCCTCTCCGTCTTTACACATTTTTATCTAGGAAAATTGTTTCATGCGGACTGGACCATATTTCTACAATATGCTGTATGGACCATATTTCTACAATATGCCGTCCAGAGGTATAAAGCATCCATTTTTAGGTGGTCCATCTACACAAGTGTAACTATCGGTCTAAATGTTTTTTAATACAATTATTATTTTTAGTTTTACATTTTTTATTTTTTTTCATATTATTGATCTCCATGTTAAAGATGGGAAATGTTTCTATGCTTCCCCTAAAGCATAGAAGTTCTATCCTCCCCCTAACATCTAGCCGTCCAATTTTGACCAAGAGAGTCACTCACTGTTTGATCTTAGATCCGATGTCTCAAAGTATTTTATTTTTAGTTTTTTTTATACAAATTGTATGAATATGAAATTTGGTACGTGCCAACACACCTATAAAAACTATTAAAATTAATTTTTTGATAAAATATAATAACCAAAATACCCCTTAAAACTTTCAGGGGTATTTTTCATTTTATTTTATTGAAAATATTTTTTTTTTATATTTTTGCTAGTGTGAGTTTAATAGAGGAATGGATGTCCAAAATTTAGTGTCAAAATAGTTTATAGAAACAAATTAAAAATAAAATGGTATAGATATGTGACATTGTGATTGGGACAATCTTAGTCCTCCATTCAGAATGGACGGTTGGATAAGGGGAGGATAGAACTTCTATATTGTAGGGAAAGCATAAAAAGCTTTCCAAAATTATATATTATCTAAACATTAAGATCAAATTATATTTAAAAAATATATTTATTGTCAAGCACGCATTTCTACAATATACGAGCTGGCTGCATAGAAACTATGTCTTTTTATCTATATCTAGTTATCCACTCCAACTTGTGTCCAAAAAATCGAACCGGCTTTGGAAACTGGCCAAGAGTTGGTTTTGAGTAATAGGTAAAAGTGTCGGGCGGTCATAAAAGTGTTAAAAATAAAAAATTAAAAAAAATTAAAAATGTATTTAAAACATGATTAAACAAAGGCCATCCATCCAAAAGAAATTCAAAATTAGTGAAAATTTTTGAATTTAAAATTGATTTGTGTCGGCGGCATAGTTTTGAAATTTTTCAAAAAAGATGGAAAAATGAAAAAATAAGTATTCAAGGTAAAAAAAAAATCCTTTCCAATCTTTACTAAAATGATAAAAACATTAAAAAATATGCCTAAGTTTTTGAGATTTATATAAATTATTTTGAATTTTTTTAAAAAATAGCTAGGTAGTTCATCAAAACTAGAACCGACCAGCGCCCGATTATGATCTAACCTGCGGGTCCTAAGCTGAACCGGCCGATATTGCGAACACTGACTATAACCCCTACCCTCTTCTATTACTATTACCTCTCTCTCTTTTTAACAGAGGACAAAGGGAGTGGCAACTGGTGGTTGCGAGTGGGGTACTGGCCTATCTCCATTTTCAACAACTTGGCATTTGGGAGCAAGCTTTTATGGGGAGGGGAAGTCAAGAACACACATCCCATGGGCCGGCACACGACCACACAAATGGGCAGCGGCTACTTCCCCAATGAGGGAAATCTGACGGCTGCTTCTTTCGATAGGTGAAATGCTTCTTGGAAAACGGGGCATATTCTGTGCTCCCGCCGGACCACAATATTAACTCATCCACTGTTAACCCACTAGCTAAAGCCTATGCGGACCACCCTCCTTGTTATACTCTTTTTAGTTATGAGGGAGCATTCTTCTATGGTGGTCTAGGCAGGAGCACCTTCTGCCCATAGGCATGGATTTTTAAGATGTGATTTATTAAATAAACTTCAAATAAAATAGAATAAAAGATTGTTGTTTTCTCTAGGATCTCTCAGGGTTGCCGAAGTGATGACCACATTGTAGTTAGGAAGAGTGTTTTGTGGTCCTCATGACTCTCAATGTTTGCTTTGCTTCTTCCGAAAAAGCTGAAGTCTTCAGATTTTACACACTCACATTCGAAAAGCAAAGCAAATATGAAAGCACTTGCTTTGGGATGATTCGTGTGTCAGCGTCTTCATTAGATACACAACCAGGTATATTTATATATTTTCTTTGTATTTTTGGGAAATTTTAAGCAAAAAAATACAAGGTGAAAGTATTGCCCCAAAGATTAAAAAAAAAAATTTATTTCTTAAAGTTAAATGGTAAGTTAAAGAGAAAAAACAAAACCATTTTCTTACAACTGTTCTTTTGGTTCTTTCATATTTGTTCTTTTGGTTCTTTCAGATTTGAACTTCAAAGTCCTAGCTTTAATGTAAAATGATAGACCATTATCATCAAATCATTAGAGCTTTTTTTCCAACTAATCGGAGTGGGTTATACGAATCATAGTTCGCCATTTCGCTCGATTAACGGCCATATCGCCAGTGAAGCCATAATGTAAAATAGCAGGTATTTACACAATTATCTTTTCATAGTTATGGTTACTGTGAAATGATGATCGCAGCATACTAAGGCTCTTTATGATTATAGATTGTGAATGTCAACAACTTGATCGTAAACATCGAATACTATAAGTAATAAAGTTTTTTTATTTTAAAGGCCATGGTAGTATTATGCCATTTCCTGTCTTTTTTAATTTTTATTTTAAATTATTGGTTTTCATTTTCATATATTCTCTTATCTTAATTTAAAAAAACTGAAAATATTAATTTAAAAAAACCGAAAAATCATCCCCAAAAATTGGCCAAAAACCCCAGTCCAACAATTACTTACCAAGAAAATAACACTTTTATGGAATTTTTGGACAATATCACACTTACAACTTACATAGAAGTGAATATAACCCATCAATCACAACTTTATCTTGTCCTAGGATCCTTTTTATAACACAAGGGGAAAGCCAACTAAGATGATGCACAACTTAAAGGCCAAGCCAAAGCAGAAAGACCTAGCTCTTTTTTTCAAAGAAACTGCAGCACAAATCCTTCCCAAAGGACCCATCACCACTTGAGGAGCCATATAAACCCCAACTTTTGGATAACAAACCCTAGTTTAATAATAGAAATTGGAAATTATAGGGCTCAAAGAAGAGCCATAATAAAACCTATTTACCTTATTGGAAGTGGGAGTTCCCTTGATTTTGATAGGATTTCCTCATCATACTCCTTGGTATCTACCCCTTTAACCACAAAATCTTTCCTATACCTATAAAGCCAACTACATAACAAGAAATAGAAGAAATTAACCAAGGACATGATTGCAAGAACCCAGTAATAATAGTCATAGTGGCCCTTGTTTATGTCCCTAGGCACCCAACTCACCCCACTTAAGTTTCTACTGACCCCATCAACAATGGTGAGCACCACATCTCCTAACAGATTCCCTACAGCCATCCCTAAGGAAAGAAGTGCCACCCCTACACTAGACATGTTTTTGGGACACTCAGTGTAGTAGAACTCAATTTGTCCTATAAAATTCAATGCCTCAGCAATTCCTGCTAAGCAATGCTGAGGGATCAGCCACAGTGCTGACATCTTCTTCTCCGGCGTCCTATGGGCTTCTTTCAGACGAGCACTCTCAACTAATGCGGCTACAGCCATTGACCCAGTTGATATAAGTAGGCCCGCCCCCAAACGGAACAAATTGCTTGGCCTTTTTCCTGTCAGTTTTTTTAAGACCCGGCCAATTATGGGCTCGTAGATGGCCACCCATGCTGTGAGGGCTAGAAGGCTGAAAACTCCGAAGGAACCGGCGGGGATTTGGAAATTAGGGCCGAGGTGACGGTCCATGGCAGTGGCCTGGAGCACCGGGAAGCCATGTTGTAGCATGGCGATGGATATGGTGATTCCGGTGGACCAGATGGGAAATACTTTTATGAGGGACTTGAGGTCTTCCACTTGCTGCACTGTGCATAGGGTCCATGGGTTTTGGGCCGATCCATCAGGTTTTAAGTCCTTAGCTGGGTCGGTTATCATGCATGCTTTATTCAGAGACCTGGATAATTGAATGTTAGAAAGGTTGGATCCAAGGATGTTTGAAAATATAACTATAAAATTTTTCTCTTCTTTTGAAAAGTTCAGCCGATGGAGTCGAACTTGAGATGTAACACTGCTAATGCAAACTGCAAACTGCTCAACCTCAAGCCCGATTCCTATAACTATATTGTTTAAAACACACAGAAAGTCACATAGCAAAACACAAATGAACTCATGTGTAAGAAAGTCATAATGTTGAGGTAAGATGATGATGTCCATTGAAGAGTATGATTAGAATAGTGGTGTGATGATGATGATGACGAGTAAGGACCATGATGATGATGGCCATGTTATGTGTGGACCATAACAGCTATAAAGGGTGTATAGTCCTTTATGTGGATCGTGGTGCCGCTAACTAGGTCAATAACCAGGATCAAGGTAAATTATGTCCTTGATAATGATAGTGGTGGTTGTAAATGGCTCTTGTTAATGAAAATATGCCAAAGATTTGACAGAAGGAATGTTTAACTGATGAGGTATCATTATAGTAATGGTGTGATGATGTTTGCAATGGTGATGATGCTTCTCAAGGTGATGATAATGGTGATGTCAAGTAGTGACCATGATGATGATGTTCATGTTAAGTATGGATTATAACAGCTACAAATGGTGCATAGTTCTGGTCACAATGATGACTATGTCAACAACTGTGACGGTGATAAATTATGTCATTGATGATGGTGGTGGTGGCGGTGGATGGCTATTAATAATGAAGATGCTAAAATCACTTGACCTACAGTGACGAATACAATCACGAACAGTTTTGCGGATGAATTGAAGCACCTTACCTGAGTTCTTGTGTTGGAGTAGCAAGCTTAGAGCCTCTATGATAATACATTCCATCTATGTTGTCAATTGGCAAAACTTGATGTCTCTTCTTAATGGCCGCCGCAACCACCTGAAACAGGCCTGTAAAAACACTCTGTTGTGCTTCTTTCTTTACATAAAATGGAGAACCTAAGGTAAAAAACGCAGTAGACAATGCCATGAGAATTACAGGTACCCCAAAACCCACTATCCACCCCTTCACATCTTGAATGTAAACAATCACTGTGACGGCAATCATGACTGACAAACCAACTGATACATAGTACCAATTGAAGAATCTCTGTAAAGTTCTTCCCGTCTTTGGGTCGCTTTTGCTTTGGGCTAATTGATCGGCCCCAAAAGCTAGAGAGCATGGCCTTATTCCACCAGTCCCAATTGACATCAAAGCGAAAGAGGTTAAAAGGATTGCAATTTGGGATGGTGAGGGCAGAAAGCAGGTTTTCTGGGTAGGGCAACTTGGTGGCCTTGTATTCGGAATTGCGGCCGTCAGCCATAGAATGATCATTCCCTGCCACAGATAAAAAGGACATGTAAGAGATGTTAATAACCACCATTTATGATCATCTGTTCAGGAAAAACTACCTAACAATGGGACCATCCACTTCTAAAGCATTGGCCGAAGCCCGAAAAACCATTTTAAGAGCACTTTCAGATGCGAAGTTTCATCTTGATGCTTGTTGTGATGAATTCTTTGAAAATAAATTATAGATCTCATCGTCTGACTTCTGACGGTCCAGAGTTGTAGTTAGTGCAGGATGTAGAAAAGGGCAGCTTCATCCATATAAAGTTTCTCTATTTGTTTGAATCATGTCATTGTTACAAGAAATTGACATGCTTAAGCCCAAATATCATGTTTCTTATGCTTTTTCTTTTTTCCTATTCTTTTGGGTAATTAACAAGGTACTAATTCTAAGCAATTAAGAAAAGCAAGCAAACAAATACTGTGCAGTTTGCTGTTTAAGAAAGAAAAACAATCAGTATGCTCGCAGTTCGGATTAGTATGGACATGCACATGCATGTCCATGCCAGTGAATGTTCCATTAATATGGAAAATTGGATCATTAACAAAGCGAGGTTCTCTTGTATTTATCAGGTTTAGTTACCGGATTTTAAATCAACCCATCTGCTAGGACTGCACAGTTCGAGAATTTTTATTTTTATCATTTTCAACAAATGCCTCTGACAATTCTTCTAGGAAAAGCCCCAATATTCTGTATGTGTGCATGTTTATATGTGTTTTGAATTTCTTTAGAAAAGTTGATATCTATCGTTGCCAAGGGCTATGACAAAATCAACAACAAAACCAGAGCCATTGTTTTTTTTTTTGGATCAGTAAAAAAAAAAAGATTATTTTTTATAGTCATTTTTTTATAGTCATTCTTTTTTGGGTTGTGATTTTCTTCGTATGCTGATTTTTTGTATAAGTCTTCCTTTAGTGAAATAGTCTAATGATTCAAAGTTCAAACAAGAGTAGTATCAATGAAAAGCAAAAGGGAATTAAAACTCTTTTTTTTTTTTTAGTAATTTAATGGGGGAAGACAGACCTCTACGCTTTTTTCATATAGATCGGGGAGTCAACTTTTTTTAAAAGGTATTAATAGGTAGTGTCAGCAGGATTGAAAACCACAACATGCTAACTATCTAGGTATGGGGCTGCTACCACCACGACCCAGCTTCTTTTGTAAGGGAATTAGAATTTGTTGCTATAAACAAGATTAATACGAAAGATACCTAATTAAAACTTTAAAAAAAGAAAAGAAAAGAATAGAAAATATGAGGAGACACAAAGAAATGGACACAATACGAAGGAAAGTATTTGATACTAGCATTTGAGTTTCCTACAGTGTGCTAACGCCTTCACAACAGTTCGATGTCAGCAGTGATAAGTAGGGACATGTCACTCTGCTCACAAGCCAGTCAAGAAAATGAAATCCGATCCACCCATGATTGATATTTGGCCGTTCAAGAGGTGCAAATTGTAAAATACCAAATTGTTACGGTACATTATTATCGTCAAAACCTTTTCTCAATTAAAAAGGATCGGAAAATCGTTAGAATAATGAAAGGGTGAACTAACCAGAAGAGTGGCAATAGATCCCAAGGTAATGACTCGGAATCGACCGAGATAGGAATCGGACACGAAAGCTCCGATTATGGGCATGAAATTGGAAGTTGCAGACCAAGTGAAGAGGATTTTCGCCGCTGAGACAGGGTTCAAATTGTATTCCGTCATCAAGTATAAGATCATGTTTGCTTGCAACCCGTAGCTCGCCACCTTCTCGAACGTCTCGTTGGCTGAAAAATTTTCATTGCAATGATTTTGTGCTAGTGTTCACTACTCTCTCTATCTCAAAATCAATTGTCATGGCAATGATCGTGTTAGTGTGTTCACCATTATCTTTCTCTCTCTCTCAAACTCAATTTTCATGGCAATGATGTTATGTTAGTGTGCTCTACTCTATCTCTCTGTAAATTTTCGTAGCAACATGTGTGTTAAGTGTGTTCAATGATCTCTCTCTCAAAATTTTCATCACAATAATTTTATGTGTTCACTGCTCTCTCTATATATATGCCCATGTGATTTTCTCTTTCATGAAGATTGGATTGAGCTATGAAGCAGAAGAGAATCACCTATAATGAAAGGCATGGTCTTCATGCCACCTTTCCTCTCTGCAAATCCTCGCTTGCTTTCGTGATGGATGTGAGAGTTCTCCATGATTGTTTCTCTCCCTAGAATTTCTTCTTTCTCTATCTAGAATAACTTCTGACCCTGGCTCTGCAATTCTTAAGATGGTCGAACAATGTGAAATCCAAGGTGATAAAAATAAAGTGCTGGAGTTTTGGATTATTGCATTTTGTTTCTATTGTTGTATGAGCATTCATTCCCATTAGTATCGTAAAATATCTCTCCTCTGGATCGGGCCGACCAACTCAGCATATACCAAGAAAGAAAAACAAAAGGTCGGGACTTTAAATCCAGTTATCCTACTCCAAAATATGGGTGGCAATGGATCTAGATCCAACCTGAGTCCCGGATCTAAAAATAGGATCCGGCTGGCAGGTTCAAATCTTGGATTCAAATACTATTAACGTCCACTAATATTTTTTGAGTTTTAATATATGAAATATATTTAAATATGTTAAATATATAGATATTTTTGTTAAATATATAGATATTTTAATTTTTAGTTTTGGTCCCATGGGTCCGGATCCTGGACCAACCTGTTACCACCACTACTCCAATTTCAATTTCAACTTTTTACTTGATATAGAGTGGTCCCTCGTGGGAGCATATACCGCACTCACTCCAAGTGGCGACGTACTACAAAGCATAAAAGATGTGCGGCTGATGCTGCCCAATTTCAACTCTTTACTTGATATAGACAGGTCACTTCAACTGGCCCAAGCTTTCTAACAAGTTTTTGTTTGGAAAATTACAAAAACCCCCCTCAAAATGGGCTTTTTCACGCCCTTTGCTCTCACTCAACTTTTCTAGTAAATACCCCTTACAAAAGTTCATTGTTTTTCTATTAAACACCCTTTACAAAAGTTCATTTTTTTTTTGGGACAAAAATATGATTATTTTTATTGGAACGGTCGGTTTGATGTAATGGTCTGACAATAATTTTTCTTGTTGGAATGTACGGTTTGGCGTTTTGAAGTTGCGGTGGTGCGGGAAGAGGGGTTTGCAATTTTCCTTAAGTTTTTTTATCGAAAAGATTTTCTACTCCCTAGGAGTATACTATCCATTTACTCCCTCGGGTCAAACACATGCTACGAATTATTTTTATATCTCGAAATTTTTGAAGATGTAATCTCTATAATCCATGGATATTTTCATCAAAAGAAACTCCCGAAATAAATTAGTGCCTCGACATTGAATAGAAACTGCACAATTTTTCGAAGGGTTAGATATGAGAGTCACAAAACTCAAAATTCAAATTATTTCTTTTAAAAGTAATCATAGAGTGATTTTTATATGGTTCCTAAAATTTTAGAGTAAAAAAACTATCTAAATAGGTGTTTTGAGCGAGGGAGTAAATACATAATATACTCCTTCGGGAGCATAGTATAAGAGCTAATTGTTTTTCATATGTTTTAAGACCTACTTGGCAGGTTTCTTCAATAACCAAGATTTCCTACTCCAAATTCATTTATTCCTCAGGTGCAACACATGTTAGGAATTTTTTTTTAGATCTCAAAATTTGTGTTTCTAATTTCTACAATCCAAAAACAAACCAGAAAAAAAAAAAAAAAAAAATCTATGTACTAGAAAAAGAATAATGCCTTAAGATTGAATAGAGACCGTCCAAACTTTGAAGAGCTAGATTTAAGTGTCACAAAACTTAAAATCCATTTATTTATTTTTTCGTTTGATAACAATCATCTAGAAGTTCTTATGTAGTTCTCAAAATTTTAGACTAAAATAATCTTTTTAAATAGGTGTTTTGTGTGAGGGAGTAGACACAAAGTATGCTCCCACAAGGACGCAGTATACATGATCTTCTTCAATATAATAATTTGGAAACTATGTAAGACTCTATAAATATTAAGGTAAATCATACAAAGAGACCATTTTACTTTTAGTATAAGGAGATCACAACTACTCTTGTCCATTAGATTTCAAATTGGGTGGTTAAAAGTGTGTATATGACTAGGCTCAAAATTCAAAGAAAAGTTTTTTGAATTTATGATAAGAAAATTGTTTCGTGCGGAGTGGACCGCATGACAACATATGTCCAAAAAGTGTAAAGTATCCATCTTCGTTCCATCTAAAAACTATGGATTTAGATGGAAACTAACGGTCCAAATGTTTTCTTATTAGAATTGTTATTTCTAGTTTTTAAAATTTACTTCTTCTTTTTTCATATTCATAATCTCCATGTATGTGTTTACATATCCTTAAAAATTAAGTAAAAACTCCATCTCAAAAAGAGATTTATTAATAAGCCCGCATTTCTACATATGCAAGCTTAGCCGCATAGAAACCATGTCCTTTGTGATATTACCCAAGCAATCGGATTGCTAGGAGTAGTTGTAAGCTCCTTGTGACAAAGATGATGGTCTCATAGTATACAATCCCTTATTTCAAAAAAGAAAAAATTGTTTTTTGAGTTTTCTAATATTTAAATTACATACTCCAAAAAAATGGACCGTCTCTGTTCAATCTTGAGACATTTTTATTTTTTTTAAGTGCATAAAGAGTACGATTTAGAAATTTTTTTTATTGGGACTAATGTGGGTTGAAGAGGCTATACCCCAAAATATGAGATCCTTGAGTTACACCTGGGCTTTACCCGTGGGAATAAATAGACATTATGCTCCCATAGGAGCATGAAATCCTTTGGCTCGATTTTGGTTTTGCTTTCGAGCTATAAATATGGTGCGTATTTTTTCGGCGTGGTTATGGGTAGACCATGCAAGTATAGGGTAGACTATTTCTTTCTCGAAATGTGAAAATTGAGTTCACCTACCCAATACATATCTTAACAAATAGAATAGATAACCATCTTATGATTTAGAGATGGAAAAAAGTTTACATAAGGATGCATATAGAACTACGGATGCACCTCAAAAATCCATCGGAAAAGGTAGTTTTAATGTTGAAAAACTATTTGATTGATCATCTTGACATCGAGATGTATGACCATAAAAAATAAAAAGATTTTAAGTCTTAGAAATAATGCATTTACAACATATTAACTACACCGTCCATTTTCAAGATTTTCATATGTTTAGGTCTACTTGATTTTAACTATTTTTAAAATTTAAAATTTTATAATTAAATATAAAAATAGATTTTTAGATAATCTTAAAAACATTTTACCTCAAAATTATATACCATGATAAAATTTGAAAGTGCACCTTACCTCTACAGTTACGGATGCATCCATATGCCAACTGCACCCCTTAGAGGTATATCACATTGAATATTTGAAATTTATATTTATAGGGAGGTCATTTTTATACTGAGTGATATATATAGAGTGAAAGCATTACTCCTCACAACTATTAATTTTTTCTTATACTTATATATATATATATATATATATATATAGAGTTTCAAAATTTCTAATATTTTAAATATATCCAATTTTTTTAGTCTAGTCCGATATCTTCATGATCTCTTTACCTGAAGTATTTTGCCGATCCATATTTTTTACCCGATTTTTTAAAATAAAAACGATTAGTTTCCGATTTCATGGTGAGCCGATTTATTGATAATCCCCAACTTGCTAACTATGGTTGAGAGAGGGGTTCTGATATATAGAGAGGAATGTGGGAAAGAAGTTGTGATAGTCACTGTATCGTTGTTTCTACTTTTAAAGGAAGTTTTATTAGAGATGAATTATTTAAATTTCAGGTGAGGTTTGTGCGATATAAGTATGGTGCATCTCAAAGTTTATTTTGGAAGATGTAGTGTCGGTGCCGGTTATTATGAAATTTAAAATTTAAAAAACAAATGCAAGATCGACCAAATATACAAAATTTAAATTTTTTTAAAATAGACGGTCTAAATAACTTTGTTGCAATATACATTATTTTTAGGATTTGAAATTTGTTTATTTTATTTATAATTTTACATATTGAGGTTGAGATAAGTTTTTTCTTTTTTCTTTTTTTACCAATGTTAACAATTTTTATTGAAGATAAAAGATCACAAAGGTGAAATTACTACATCAAATATCACCACAGTAGGTAAAAAGACACTATATTTGGCCAAAAAATCTACCAAAATATTAGCTTCTCTATAAACATGAATGAGTGAAATTGGGAAGGCTCCCAATCGAGGTTGAGATAATTAACTAGAAGATTTTCCACTTGATAACATTTTTTTATGTCTTTTTTTTGTTTTGTTTTTTGGGTAGATAAGTGGGGATTGCAAGTCCCTATCCACTTTAAAAATAGTAGTTTTTTAATGCATTAGTGGGAATAGAAGCTTAGCGGTGGTGCTGCCACTATAACCTCAACCCCATTTCCATATTTATGCGGATTTTTAAGGTGCACTTTGCTTTTATGGTACAAAGTTGCCACCTTATATCAATTTTTTACTAAATATTTTACTCATTTCTTTGGAATCCGCTTCAAAAATCACATGAAAAATTGTACGATCATGATTTAAATAGCTGAAAAAGAGAAATATATTAAATAATTTATATTTTAAGTATATTTAACAATTTTTCATTAATGTAATAATTCCTTTAACCCGGTCCATTGGCATTGTATCCAATGTATCATTGACTATCGGTTCACTAAAATGATTTTGAAAAGAAGAATAAAACTTCGAGAGTAAGTAAATTGCATGAAGGTACACATGGCCATGTATGAAGAGGAAAAGGAGACATTTCTATTGTTTTTAAAAAAAGAAAACAGAGGAATGAATGCCTCTTTTTAAAAAAAATAAGGGATTGTATACAATTATCATTTATCTTTGGGACAATAAAGTCACAAATACTTATAACCATCCGATGTGAAATCTGATAGCTTAGGTGTGTCACAAAATGTGAAAAAATTTATTTCAAAGTTTGAGCTTGGTCAATAGAATAAATGCATCCATCCAATTTCACATCTAACAGTCACGATTAATTATGACAACCATGTACCAAAAGTAAATGATTTCATTATATACTTTTTTGAAAAAAAAAACACAAGGTGCTACTCAAGGGGTTCCAATCCACTTGTCACTATCCTACTGCCTCAAATAACTCTATTCATATGCAACAAAATCTTAAGCACATAATGTTAACCAATATTACAAAAATCTTGGGCACATAATGTCAAAAGGAAAAAGTTTTATCGCGGGTACATAATGTCAAAAGGAAAAAATTTAAATGAGGTTGCAACTTTATATTGTATAAGTAAGATGAATCTTCGAAATCCAATAGAAAAGAGTGTTATGATGCTCCAATCAACTTGTCACTATCCTACCACCTCAAATAACTCTATTCATATGCAACAAACAATTTAGGCACATAATGTTAACTAATGTTACAAAAATCTTGAGCGCATAATGTTCATATAATGATAACTGATGTTACAAAAATCTTGAGCACATAATGTCAAAGGAAAAAGTTCATATAAAGGTGCAACTTTATAGTGCAGAAGTAAGATGAATCTTAGAAATCCAAAATAGTAGTTTGATGTTAAAAACCTTATAATTGATCATCTCAACCTCGAGATGTATCAATACAAATTAAAAAAATAAATTTTTTTAGTAAAAAAAATAGTTCATCTTATAACAAGTTACATGGACCGTCTATTTTCAAGATTTTTAACTATTTACAGATCTGGATGACCTATACTATTTTTGAAAATTTCAATTTGTAATTAGAGCCGAATACATTTATTCTAGTCATCATAAAGTTTTTGACATTAAAACTACATCTCCTGACAAAATTCAGTAGTGCGCCTTTATAGTATAAGTGGGCAACCTTATGTACGATGTTAAACAATGAAAAGAGCTCATAATGTTAGATAATTGATATTTTATGTGTGTTTTAACAATTTCTCATTACAATAATAATATCTCATGGGGATATTTGGGGAAAACCAAAAAAAAAATCTTGAGCTCACAATGTTAGATAATTGATCTTTTAAGTGTATTTGAACAATCGAAAAAGTTTATATAAGGATGCTACGGATGCACCTCAAAAATCCATTGGAAAAGATAGTTTTAATGTTGAAAAACCCTTTGATTGATCATCTCAACATCGAGATGTATGACAATGAACAATAAATAGATTTTGAGTCTCAGAAATAATTCATTTTACAACAGATTATCTACACCATCCATTTTCAAGATTTTCGTATGTTTATAGATCTACTTGATTTTAACCATTTTTAAAATTTAAAATTTTATAATTAGATATAAAAATAGATTTTGAGATAATTGTAATAACATTTTACATCAAAATTATACACCATGATAAAATTTGAAGAGGCACCTTATCTTTACACCTACGGATGCGTCCATATGCAAACTGCACTTTTTAACAATTTTTCATTTATGTAATAATATCTCTTGGGGATTTTTTTGGGGGGGGGGGGGAGGGGGGGAAATCTTGGAGAGGAGTGACACTGGCCATGTATGACGGGGGGAAAGCAAATAATGTCATTTTCCCACGAAATAAAAACAAAGTGTTAATAAAGGGTTCCAAACAATTTGTCAATAATCCTAGTGCCTCAAATAACTCTACTCATATGCAACAAAAATCTTGAGCACATAATTAGTTTTCTATACATGACTTGCCGTGCAAAGCGGTTCAATTACTAAGTTAGTTATCACTTAAAACAAAAAAAAAAAGTTGAATTACTATGAAGGCATAGAGAATGCCTCCACAAGAACACACTGTAGATTAACTCCCTCAGGACAAAAAAAGACTACTTGGGAGTATATTTTTAGATAAAGTATATAATGAGATCATTTAAGGTAGTCACAATTAATCTTGACCATTGGATGTAAAATTGGATCGCTGCATTTATTTTATTGGCCATGCTTAAAGTTCAAAAAAAAAATTCTCGATCTTTATGACACATCCAAGTCATCAGATTTCACATCGGATAGTTGTAAGTAATTGTAACCTTCCTGTAGCAAAGGTAAATGGTCTCAATGTATACAATCCCATATTTTTATTTAGAAGTTTAAGATCGATCTAAAATTCACTAGATGAGTATTCTAAAGGAAAGAATTGAATTTATGAAATACGTGGGTATTACCTTCAATATTGGATGGTCCTTGTTCAATCTTAAAACGTTCAAATTTTTCAAGATCAAAATGTGCAATTTGTTTTTTTTTTTTTATGCTGGTCACTAGGTTCAAGAGGTCAGATCTCCAATATTTGCGGCCTCAGAAAATACTCCTATTTAAGTTTTACCCGAAAGAGTAAATGAACAGTTTGCTCACACGAGAGTGGCAAATCTTTTGGCATTCTTTATTGATCGAACCCTTTTTAACTTATTGTGGTGCTTCCTACAATTTGATATACAAACGGTTTTTTAATTACAATTAGGCAATTGATACTTCTATAATAAGCATCCTATCTGGCCAAAATGAAGTATTAGATGAAAAAGATCTCGCATTTATTTTATAATTAGAGTGCATTCTAAGTGAGGAATATTCTCATCACATGTATCTCCAAAATATCTTTCGGATAGAATAGATTTCAGATAGAATAGAGGAAAAGAAATAAAGCTCTTTTTATCCCACCATTATACGAATGAAATGGGAGCCCATTTATCCTATTTCATCTCAAGCGACATAAAGAAAGGATGATTTGATTTTCCTTATTGACCACTAGAATGCAATATAACAAAATAAATGCCTAAATGACCCCATCCCTTCAAGAGCTGGATATCAGCCGAGATGGAGCTGACCTGGCTTATGGGAGCAAAGGGACGAGAGCCGGAGGCATTCCTTTAGGGGAGCAAGCCTATTTTTTACTCATGCGGTTCACTCGTAGCTAAAGACAAGCAAGAAAATAGATGCGCTAACGTGCAATGGCTTTTACAAAAGCTGTTGTTTGTTGGCTTTTGAGCTCGTTGCGTTGAATAGCATTAATGGAGAGAAATAGAATATTGTACATCTCAAGTTTGATTTCGACTGCTGAACTACCAAAAATAATAATAATAAAAAATAAAAAAAAGGGAAGAAAACCATAAGAGAGAGTGCACATTGGGCAAGGGCGAGAACTCATTTGTGAATAGCATGGAGAACTTTCAGCTATCCTTGTACTAGCAAGAGCTTTTAGAAAGCTCCAGAAATTCGCACAAAGATAAAGAGCACGTATACTATGCTTCTTAAGAAACAAAATTTATTTTCTACTCCCTCAGTCAGATGACTTATGTGGGAGGATTTTTCCAATTTTAAATTTTGGTGACCACCTTATAATCACTAGAAAAACTAAAATTAAAATTTGAGTTTTGTAATACTTGGATCTCACCCACTAAAAATTAGACAGCTTCTATTCAATCTCGAGACATTCTTTTTTCAAGTGCTTAGAGGGTGCAAATAGGATTTTTTTTTTTTTTATTGAGGTTAATCTATGTGTCACCCCAAACTCTACTCAACGATGCAGTTCTAGTGCCAAAAAATTTATGATGACCAAAAAATCTATTTCCACCCTTAATTATAACATTTCAAGTTTTGAGAATGGTGCACACCTATAAGAACTCAAAAATCTTGAAAATAGAAGGTCTAGATAATGTGTTACAAGAAGAATTCTTTTTAAAACTTGAAATCCATTTTTTCTTTCGTATACATACATATCGAGGTCGAGATGATCAGCTAGAGGGTTTTCTCGCATCGAAACAACCTCTTCTAGTTGGCACCTTATATGTTGACACCTTACTTCTATAGTACAATGTTGACACCTTATATAATTTTTTTTCATTTTTTAAATATGAAGATTTTATAAATATATGTTTGAGTATTTTTTTAAACATTTTTATATAAAAATATGTTTTGGTTTGAAAGCTATGGAGGCATTTTTCATCATTTGTAACCTCCAATAATTAATAAAGACATATGTCTAGTGAGAAAATATAATAGTGATTCTACACAGCTAATCAAACAATTAATTACAAAGAAAGCAACACGTTTTGGAAATTTGAAGGCATATTGCCACATTGAGTGTCTTTACATATGTGGGTATTGAACACATCACCTACAAAGGAATCTCCTGCCCTTCTTATAACATAAGGGCCAAATCAAAGAGTTATTACAAGCCAAACTCAGGTGATTCACATAATTCGACACCTTAATAATGGAGAAACCCACAGCCCCTTCCCTTGCATGAAGTTCACTAAACTCCCATTCACTATCCTTCCCCAAGAAGCCACCAACAGTGCTCAAACTATTCCAATTTGTTTGGATTTTCGAATTAACTCAGGCAATGGCAAAAAAATCTGAATTTATCAGACAATCGGGAGATTCAGGCAATTCTGGGGTTTTCCGGCCCCAGAATCACCCGCCGCACAATATGCTTCGTCGCGGGGGACTCCTGAGTCAGACAAGAGATTTTTTCAATCCCTAGCACAAAAAACACACTACCTTAGTTGAAGTGGGAACTCTTCCTTGGAGTTTAATGGAATCTCCTCATCATCCACCCCATCAACCTCAACAACTTCCCCTATACCTATACAACCAAGTACATGCCAAGAAATACATGAAATTAAGCAAGGACATAAGTGCTAGAACCCAATAGTAATAGTCATAGTGGCCCTTGTTTATATCCATGTCCTTAGGCACCCAAACTCCTACTGGCCTCACCCACCATTGTTAAGACCACATTCCCCAGCGCATTCCCCACAGCAATCCCAAGAGAAATTAGGGCTACCACGATGCTAGACATGCACTTGGGACATTCAGAGTAGTAGAACTCAATTTACCCAATTACACTTAGGGCCTCCGCGATCCTCGCGAGCCAATACTGAGGGACTAGCCACAATGCCGACATCTTCACCTCGGGCACCTGAAGGGCTCCCTTCCTACGAGCTCCCTCGACTAATGCAGCGACAACCATTGAACCAGTTAATGCAAGAAGGCCTGCACCCATACGGCACAAATTTCTTGGCCTTTTCCCAGTCAGTTTCTCAGAAATTCGGACTGCTACCGGATTTTAAAAAGATTATCCATAGTGTGACGGCTAAGTGGCTGAAAACTCCGAAGGAGCCAGCTGGGATTTCGAAATTAGGACCAATGTGTCGGTCCATGGCAGTGGCCTGGAGCACTGGGAAGTGTTGGTGAAGGGTAATGGCTATGGTGATTCCAGTGGACCAGATGGGGAACACTTTTATGAGGGACTTGAGGTCTTCGACTTGTTCAACGCTGCAAAGGGACCAGGGGTCTCAGGCCGATCCATCCGGGTTTAGGTCCTCGGTTGGGTTGGTTATCATGCAAGCTTTGTTTAATTGCCTGACGTATTGTGTCGGAGTAGCAAGCTTGGAACCTTTATGATAATACAAATCCAAGTTATCAAGTGGCAAAACTTGATGCTTTTTCTCGATAGCTGCTACAACCATTTGAAACAGCCCTGTGAATACACTTCCCTGTACCTCTTGCTTCACATAATTGCGAGAACCAATAACAAACAACAGAGAAGAGATTGCCATGAGAATCACAGGTACGCCAAAACACACTACCCATCCCTTCACTTCTTGAATGTAAACAATCACTGTGACTGCAGTCATCAATGGCAAAGCAACTGATACATAGTACCAGTTGAAGAAGGTTTGAAGAACACTGTGTGTCTTTGGGTTGTTTTCGCTTCTGTCGATTTGATTGGCCCCGAAAGCTAGAGAGCATGGCCTTATCCCACCTGCCCCAATTGACATCAATGCAAAAGAGGTGAAGAGAATAGCAATTTGGGATAGTGAGGGGAGAGTGCAGCTTTCAGGTCTTGCATTTGGGATTGCAGCAGTTAGCCATAGAATGATAATTCCCTATAAAAGAGGGAAAAAAATAAAGAATAAAATCTAATGACAAGGTCTTTAAAGCATCTGAACTATAGAAGAAAATGGCATGATTAATGTCATAAAGTCTTATATGCTTATCCTAAGAACTTAGACATGGTGTGGTGCTCATTAGCATTTAGACAAAGCATACTAAAATGTACTAGGTAAAGTATAAATAAAATTGTCAAGCCACCTCAAAAAATTAATGGGTGATTAAATTGACTAATCACCTCTAGTAGTTTCATATAAAATACACAAATTACCGTTGTTATGGGTTTAAAACCTTAAATAACTAAAGGCATTTGGTAATTTCGCCTCTTTTGTTAGTTGAGCTGGATGACCTTAGTGCCCTTGCTAGTTCAAAGTTCCAAACGCAGTATATATTCTCACAAAAAAAAAAAATTTCTCGTTCTAATTATATAACACAAGACAAGTAATGTTATTTACATCTTTCGCTCAAGTAACTTAAGTGGGGCTGATTCCAAGGTGAGGCTATCGGATTTCACATCAAATGGCTAAAGGTGATTGGGACTTCTTTATATCAAAAATGAATAGTACTATAGAATACAATCCTGTTGCATTTTCTTTATGCACATGTTTACATCCGTAGGAAAGCAAATTATTTTTTTTACTCCCATCAAACACATAGTAATTTAATGTAAGTAGTTCATTTTTTATTCATCATGATAGGAACGATGTTGTTATGCATCATAAACAAAAATTGCTAGGAACTAATTTTTGCCTTTATAAAAGGATGAGAAAAGATATAAAATAATTTTTTTAAAAATGTCATGAAAATGATCAAATCATTCAAAAAAGGACCCGGTTTCTATGTGGCAAAACCCGCATATGTAGAAATGTGGTCCTATTAATAAATCTAGTTTTGAGATGGATTTTTGTACTTAATATTTCAGGCGATGTAATCTCTAACACGGAGATCATGAATATGAAAAAATAAATCAATTTTTAAAATTAAAAATAATAATTCTAGTAAGAAAACGTTTAGATTGTTAGTTTCTATTGTTTTTAGATGGAACACCTACTTGCATCAATCTAGATGCTTAATACTTTTTGGACCGCATATGTAGTCATGCGGTCCAGCCCGCATGAAACAAAAATATAAAAAGAACAAAACAAAAACAAAACAAAACAAAACTACTGACAAGTTAGGAAGAGAAAAGAAAGTGAACTAACAAGAAGGCTAGCGATGGATCCCATAGTTATGACTCGGAATCGACCAAGATAAGAATCGGATATGAAAGCTCCAATTATGGGCATGAAATTGGAAATTGCAGACCAATTGAAGAGGAGTTTTGCTGCTGAGACTGGGTCAAATTATACTCTCCTGTCAAGTATAAGATCATGTTTGCTAGAAATCTATAGTTCGCCACCTTCTCGAATGTCTCATTCGCTGAAAATTTTCATGGCAATTATTTTGTTTAGTTTTCATTAATCTCTCCGCGTGTGCTCGCGTGTACGTCAAAATTTTCAAATCGAAATATTTCAAGTAATCTCTCTCTTTCTATGATGAAGGGCATGGTCTTGATGCCACCTTTTTTCTCTGCAACTCCTTGCCTGTCTTCATGGTGGTGGTGTGAGATCCACATGATTCTTTCTTTCTTTGTAATTGCTTTTTAGCTCCTGGCTCTGCAAATTTTGGCATTTGATCACTCTGAAATTCAAGTTGAAAATAAAACTGCTAGTTTTCGATTATTATAATTTGTTTGTATATTTGTGCTCTTATTCCATCAGGTCCAATAATATATGTTTGAAGTGCTTTGGGTTTGATATGTGTAAATGGACATGGATGTCCATAGTTTTTGCTGTGTGTCGCTACTCTAAGAACATGACTCTCATGTCTGACAAAAAGAAATTTTAAACACTTATTTTGTTAGTCTTTCTGTATAAAAGTTGCTACAAAAGTGCGTTAATATGGCATAATATCACACCTTTCCTTTTGTCTAAATAATGTATGGATGTATTGTGTCTAAAAGACTAAGTTTATTATTAACATATCCAACAATTGTGTATGTATGATTTTAAAATTAGAGGATTTTACATTAGGAAAAAGTTTATATAAGGTTGCAACCTTAAAATGTAGAATTACAGATGCACCTCAAAAATTTATCAGAGAATGTTGTTTTAATGTTGAAAAACCCTCTAATTAAACATCGAGATGTATGAATATGAAAAAAAAAAAAAAGATTTTGAGTCACAAAAATAGTGCATCTTGTAACACATTATCTAGACCGTCTATTTTCAAGATTTTTATATATTTATCGACCTACTTGATTTTGACCATTTCTTAAGTTTAAAATTTTATAATTAAATATGAAAATAGATTTTATGATAATCCTAAGAATCTTTTACACCAAAATTACATATTACGATAAAATTGGAGGTGCACGGTAATTGGATTGTTTAAGGTTGCAACTTTATAGAAACCGCACCCTTTACATAATTAGGTTTAGTTACTAATAGTTAGGTAACTAATAATTTTAAAATTAAGCATCCTAAAAATTAAAGTATCAATGAGAAACAATTCTCACTTATTTTATGATTGTTGTTCAGGTTACTCCAACTATAATGAGAAAATAATTTATTGGAATTCATTAAAGTGCTAAAAAAGAATGGCACTATACTAGAAATGTAAATTTACCCCACACACAATGCCCTCACTTTCCACTCCTAAACAAATGAAAATCAGTTTGCTATTGTGGATAATGTTTAAACAGGACATTGAAAAACTCTTTTAAAACATGAAAACTTGGCAAAATGAAATATTTTGTTAACCAAAAAAAAAGACGGTAAGATTCCTTTGAAACCAGTGAGACCTTCCCAAAGCCTTTTCTGGGCTCTCTCCCTTTTTCCTTTTTTTTTTTTTTCTTTTTTTTTTAGAGTTCAGTGGTAGTAATTTGTACTCGAGATGTAACACCTTGATCACTCGAATACCATACA